TGCAACTAATAATAGGCCATTTTTCGCGACATAATTTCCTCAAGGATTATGTTCGATTATGTTGGGTTATCCTCAAACTGCCGTTTTCGCGAGAAAAAATTATCAGAGCCTCTGCCCTCTGGATCAAGCCTTTCATCTGCTATTTCCATAACATAACCCAGAGTCAAGAATCGTAAACACAGGATTGCCGATCCTCATAAGGCGTACGTTCGCCAAGTCTCGGATCTGCGAGTGACGTCACCATTATCAGCAGCTAGGTAGACTTCAATGGAATGCTTGCGATTCGGTTGTGCATGAGACTCTTGAGTGATTTAGGGTGGGTATTATAAAGGCGGGCACAGACATACGGTATTCGGCGAGTCTCGAATCAGAAATATTTGCTATTCGGCAAGTAGCGATTAGTGTGTATGGGTTGCTCGGGCATAATATAGCGAATATTTGCCCGAGCAACCCATACACACTAATCGCTACTTGCCGAATAGCAAATATTTGTGATTCGAGACTCGCCGAATACCGCATGTCTGTGCCCACCTTAAAACTAATTTGCCAGATAGCAAAAAATTAGCTTGTGGAATAGGAATGTTCACTATTTTTCAATTGTAATAAAAAGTGGTGCTTCTAGGTCCGCAAAACACGTATCAAGCGTTAAAACATTTAGAAACCCTTCATTTTTTCTGATAAATCGAAAACAAAAAAACGAAATCAGCGAGGCTAGCAAAACGACCCCTTGCGGCGAGAGTAGCGCTTATGACGTCATTGTGCGGAATGAATAATCAGCAAGCGTGTTAGCGAGATTTGTTTACAAGTTTACATTGAATTTATTGTGTTGCCGACTGTTGCTTTATCCCAAGAAGTTTCATTCACTCTAATTATCTGTGTTTGTGTAATGATGGAAGACTCAAACAAAGTTAAACCGAGTCGAAAAAAGTGGTAACTACGTGCGTGTTTTCCTACGAGGTGCGGAAATGTGGTACTTTCCGCACGCAAATCCTTGCGTAAAGACGCGTTTTCCACACGCTCGTAGAAAAAATTTGCCTAACACGAGCGTAAAGTATGTTTTCCGAACTTGCGGCTTGCACGAATTCCGCTGGCGCCTCGTTCGTGCAAATGCCGTTGCGTGAAGAAAAGTATAACTTTCCGCACTTGTTATAGGTGAATAAATAACTATATATCACTGTGCAAATCCAACTGTACCTACGTCTAATACGTCTGTTTTACTTTTACACCACTGGATTGAGGCAGATTTGATTCAAGTCTTGACACTTGACCAAAAAGTCTGATACCACAGTAAGTAACGCCCACAGTTGGCAGATTATGTGAATCGGCCTTTTGAAAACCTTCTTCCATTTTAGCCAGAGTACCTTTTCTACAAAAATCGCAAAAGCAACGTCACAAAAAGCTGATCCAAGTAGAAAGTAGCGCCACTACTGTACTTGCGCGCGCTAACTCGTTACGCATTGTGACGTCAGAGAGCGTTTCGTGCGTTTGAACGAATATTAATATTTCGTCTCCGTTTTTCTCATAGAAAGAATTTTCTGATTTACTTATGGAACGATGCTTAATAATTTAATGATCGTTAGACGGGATTTTTTTATTTTGTAAACATCCGTATTACTATGGGAAGTAACGTCATTCCAGAAGTTAACTTTTAAGTTAACTGTCACAATAGTTTTATAATACCCACCCTTAATAAGATTTTAACGTTTAGGAAGTCGTTTTTTTGACCTATAGTGTTTTAAACTCGGCTTAATGCATTTTACGCCAAGAGTCGAGGCCTGCGGCTGACATGGCAGACACTTTTAACTCAATCCTATCAAGTTAAGTGTTCTTGACCCAGACTATCCTCGAGTGTATCCCAGAAGAATCTGTTGGCGGGGAGTATGACACAATTGACACCACATATTATGCTGGGGCATAATTAAGATTATGCTTGATATCTTCGCGAAAAATTGCCAAATATAAGTAACAAAGATGGAACACTCGTTCCCCTGGGAACGCTGCTCCCTCGTTTCAAGAATAAGGACCCTGGGATGCCTCAACATAATGCAAATCTTCATGAGGCACCCCAAATGACGTCATCAAACGATGCTTAAAGTAGGGTGCGTTTCAGTGAAACGACAGTTGTTTGGTGCACCAGAGTGTGGAGCTACGGGTTCTGACAACCTATTAACTTTGGGAACCTTGACAACAGTCAAAATTCTCTTGATTACGTAACATGCCGGCCCTAACAATTTCAGAACAATAAATTGCGCTGCTACCGATCTGACTTGGAGCCAAAAGTGCACTAAATGACCAATGGGTTGACAAGCCAGGCAGTCGTTTTGACTCTCAGTACACGTTCGGCCAACGGCATACGCTATAAAGTACACAAGCGATTTCCATTTGTAGAATCAGTGCTACCAAAAGTGTATCCTCATCCTTATATTTTACATGATTTTAGAAAAAGATGCGGATACACTCAGTGCGCACTGATTGACAAATGGAAATCGCCATAATAAAGAGTATAATCTTTATGCTCGGCTCGCACTGTACTGATTGTCGTCTGTTGAGTCATGATTTAAGTCATATCAGTTCAATTCTGCAACGAGTTGTAAATATCTACGCCTACTAAAAAAATATAAATCAATTTATCAGAAATTACTTTAAAAGTCTATTTAATTACGTTTTGTGATAGACAGTGAGAATGGGGATCTCTTGGGGATTATTTAAAGGTAACTAAAATACATTATATACAGTGTGTGTTTTACGGATATCGAAACAAAGGCGTTTTAGGGTCGATTAAAAAAAAAAAAGCTCAGAAACGTCATTTTTGTTTTCAAGGGGAAAACTTTTTGATTCCATCGTTATTTCGTTAGGGTGCGCCTCCTGGGTGGGGTGACTTTTACCCCTCTTTTTTAGATAGGGAAGTCGAGTGGTACCTTGTTTCAAAGGTATTTTGATTCTTGATTCTAGTCACAACTGCGTATTTTTTTGAAAATCGTATGATTAGTGCTCAAGATATTCACTGTCAAATTTACTATGGACTAAATAAGAAGCAATCTTCTGGGTCTCTGTTATTCTCAAATTAATACTTTCCTGACTTGCCTCTCGGACACATAAATTTTTATTTTTTGTGTGCTTCTGGAAAAATGAAAATTGACTTGTCCGATAGGAAGCTGTTAATTTGAGAATGAGGGTCGACTCTCATTTGGGCTACACTCTGGGGGGCTTTATTTGAAATTGATGCAACTTTGCGTACACGATTCAATATATATTTTTGAAAAATTAAAAATCACTTGTAGGGGCTCATGATTTTTTTTGTCCACCCTGTATGACAGCTACAATAGCTGCGCTAGCTATGACACAACTTGCGCTAGGCTGCGCTAGGTGTTACGAATGTGCGCCAGCATTTTTGAGAAGATCGAATAACTGGGGGGGCTAGCGTCACCCTAGCCCCCCCCCCGAATATAAAGCCACATATCTTTTGACCTGTAGCTGCGCTAGCTTTCGAAAAAGTTGCGCTAGCTCTGGAGAACGAGGGCTAGCGTTTTGGATAAAAATTATCAACTGGGGGGGGGCCAGGTCTACTGAGCCGAATTTTTTAGGCATTGGAAAGGATTTGAGAACATCGGGCATACCGCTGTACACACCAAAGCCAACGCGTTCCAACATAGTTCACATGTGCCGTTGGCTAGCGTTGGAAATTTGCTCTGTAGACGGTTTGAAACTAAACAATGAAATATTTTTCTAGCGACAGTTTGCATCGCGAAGTTGTGTCGCGTCGCCGAGCTGAGTAAAGCATAAGTGAGAATAGACCTTAACAGGGCCAAAAGATTATTTCTCATTTAGCCCATGGCAACTTTGACAATAGGCAATTTTTCGCGAGGAAAATCAAGCATAATCTGATTATGTTGGATCTTAGAGCAGGTAGGTAAAGGTAAAGAGGAGTAGTATTAACATGGAGTTGGAAAATGAAGGTGTTTTTTTTCCAGGTATTTTGACACCAAAAAAATGGCGGTATAGGCAATTCCAGGCAATTCAATACTTTACCTGTGTTTTGGTGCCAAACACCTGCCAAAAATTTGGCTTCACTTTAGTTTCATAGGTAGAATGGCGCGTTCCTACTCCTTATGTCCGTAGGACAGCGCCTTACCGGCTCTAAGTGTTGGATTATGTAATGTGTCAATTGAGTCATACTCCCCTAACTTCCTCTCCATTTAATTCTGGGCCTACGAGTGACTTCATTAACAGCAACTTGTGGTGATGACGTCAGCCGCAGACCTCAATGGAATGCTTGCTATTCAGGCTGTGTTAGTGAGTTAATTTTTTCTTTGATTTCAAATGTAGAAAAGGGGATTTTCGGTCTGTTCTCACAGAAGAAGTTAAGTGTTCTTGATGCTCGAGTATCCCAGAAGGTTTGTTCCAACCCGTCAAAAATCCGTCCCAGCCAGAACGGTTTCGGAACCACTTATCTATACGAATTTCGGTTTCTACGCAAAAATTTCAGGTTTTGCGCAGAATCATGGCGGTAATATTAGGGGTTTCCTGCTGGGTTGGAACAAAGCTAGAATTTGATGGTGGGGTAGTATAGTATGACACAATTGAATTGACACATCACCGAATCCAGCATACTCGAGTATGCTTGGTTATTCTCGCGAAAAATTGTCTAATGAGAGACTTGAGAATTAATCATTCCATTTTCAAAAAAAAAAAAAAAAAACGCAGTTGTGACGAGAATCGAAATACCTTTAAAACAAGGCACCACTCGACCCATCTTCCCTATCTAAAAAAAAGGGGTGAACGCCAGCCGACCCAAGGGGTTCACCCTAGCGAAATATACCGATTGGGTCAAAAAGTTTCCCCCTTGAATATAAATACGACGTGTTTGAGCGTTGTTTTTTTTTCAATCGATATTAATATACCCTAAAACACCTGTGTTTCGATGTTCGTGTATGATTGATTATATCGATATAAAAAATGTTATTTCATAATCCGTAGGGCAAGCAGCAACAGAAGATGAAATGGTGAAAGTGAACTCCGATTTAATTTCTGCAGTTTGTAAAGGCGAACTAGAAACATCGAGGCAGATAATCGATTCTTTTGGGCTGTCGTACTCACCATCATGGGCGAACGGATATGTTTTGCTTCTCCACGCTCTCAGGAATAACCATGTAGCAGTTGCTAAGCTTCTTTTGAAGAAAGGTGCTAAAGTGAACAACAGAAATAGTGAAAAATGCCCTAATGATACTCCTCTTCATCTTGCTGTTATGAATGGCGACATTGAAATCGTTAAAATGATCCTTAATAAAGGTGCTAAAATTAATGCTAAAAATCTATTTGATGTAACTCCACTTTACTATGCGATTGAAAAAAGGAAAATGGAAATTACTGAATTACTCTTGAAACGGGGAGCCGATGTTCCTGATACTTCTTTAGATTGGCTTAAAGGTTATACACTACTTCATGTTGCTGTTATAATGGGTAGTGAAAACGTTGTAGCTTCGCTTTTAAGGATAAGTAGAGGGGCTACTGTTAATGCTGAAGCAGAAAATAGTATAACCCCTCTTCATGTCGCTGCTGGAGTAGCGAAAGAATATTTCAATATATATATTGTCAAACATCTTTTAAACCACGGTGCTTCTATCCATTCATTAACATCGGAAGGATATACGCCACTTCATTTTGCTTCTAGACAAGGTAATGCAGAAGCTGTGAAATTATTCTTGGATTGGGGTGCTGATATTAATGTTAGCACGAAGGATAATTTAACGCCACTTCATGTTGCTATTCAAAACCGATATGTTACAGTTGTGAAACTGCTCTTAGATTGTGGCGCTAAAGTTGATAATCAGGACACTAACAAATCCGTACTAAACCTTGCTGTTGAAAAAGGATCTTTGTCGATTGTTGAATTGCTCTTAGAATGTGGTGCTAAAGTTGATAATCAGGACGCTGAAAAATCCGTACTACAAGTTGCTGTTGAAAACGGATCTTTGTTGATTGTTAGAGAGGTCTTAAAGTATTGTCCTGATATTAATAATAAAAGTAACAGAAACTCTCTTGAAATTGCGGTACGCGGCTTCAGCGTAGTGTATGAAAAAATTGTTGAGGCTCTCCTAGAATATGGTCTTCTCATTAATCCCATACATGCAAATAATCCAGAGCTATTACATGCTGCTATTGAAAACGGATATTTGAAAATCGTTGAAGACATATTCAAGTATGCTACTGAGGTCAATATGTTACTCAATTCAACTTCAACTAAAGGAGGTTTAACACCTTTACATAATGCAGCCAAAAAAAAACAGCAAGAAGTAGCTAAATTATTGATTAGCTACGGAGCTGATATAAATGCTCAAGATAAAACTGGGAAAACCCCAATATTTTATGCTATTAAAAATGCAGATTTGAAAATTTTCGAGCTACTTTTAACTAATGGAGCTAATGTTAAAGATTATCCTGAGCTATTGAATGTTGCTGTTGAGATGGAATGCAGAGAAATCGTCGAAACTATATTGCATCATGATGCTGATATCAATGCTTGTGATAACTACGGAAGAACAGCATTGCATTTTACTGCTTTAACTTTTGCAGATGATTTTAGTTCTCAATCTATTGATATTTATTTAGACAATTTTAATTTCGATAATGGAAAACCTGATAATATTATTAAGGGAGAAATCGCCAAGCTGCTTCTAAGTAAAGGCGCTAATGTTGATGTTCAAACTAAAAATGATGTAACAACACTTCTTGCGTCTACTTTAAAACGATATGCAAAAGTTGTTGAAGCTCTTTTAGAATACAATGCAAATGTTAACTTGGCCCTGGAAAGTGGTATCACGCCACTTCATATTTGTGCTCAGCAGGGAAATCAAGACATTATCACAATGCTTTTGAATAAGGGAGCCAATGTTAATGCTAAGGGAAAAAATGGATCTACTGCACTCCACATCGCTTCTAGAGCAGGAAAAGAAGGGATTGCTAAAATTCTTCTGGAGTTTGGCTCTGATATTAATATTGCAATTAGTAATGAATTTACACCTCTTGATTCTGCCAGGCAAGGGGCACGTTTTCTCCATAATCGATTTGTAAGATTTTATGGTCAACGCCGTAACACTTATGAGCTCTGGGAAGAACGTGATCCTGGTGATTCCTGTGATGCAATTGCTGAACTTCTTCAAATGCACATAGTTAAAATGAAAATCGCAAATTTATATTTAAGTGAACGAAATTTAGAATCAATGCGTTGCAATGATGAAATACTACCAGCTTTTTGGAATGAATGTGAAGCGGAAATAGCAAACATGAGAATTGAGAAGTTGGATAATGCTAACATTTCATTTTATGATATTTTGGCAAAAAGTACAAGTTCATTAGCAATATACATGAGGAATGCAGATATAGTGCAGGTTTTGAAATCAGAGGACTACAAAACAAAATTTCCAATATACGCTAGCATGATAAAAAGTCATTTTAGAAGAGGCATGGCAAGAAAAGAGTTACTAGAACAAGGCAATAAAATTCTCAATTTTCTCTTCAAGAATCTTCCTGAATTACCACATGACTGTATTGAAAAAATATTAACTTACCTGAGTGGCAAAGACTTGATAAGTTTAAGGGATACTTGAGAGTCCCTTACCTACTTATCATCAGTGAATAGGATAAAATATAATACATAGGTACATAATACAATACAAGACAGTTATTTATTAAGAAATATTTCATCTTAGAATATCAAATAATAAATATTTGGGCGGAAAATATCAGAAAAACTAGAGACGTAAACTAGGTCCACGCCAAAGAAACACAGAGGAACATTTTGTTGCAAGTTGCCGCAACCTGTTCATGGAAACAGAAACAACAGCAAAAGTAACACAATGGTTACTCATTTTTGTATAAATGTTTCGTTGTAACAGTAAACCCTGTATCTACACCAGTGCAACGTGTGTATTATCCTAATCTCGAAACAATGTAGCGACGATTCAGACACACAACGGCTGTTTCGAGTTTTGGGAACAAGCAACCACGTGTCCACATTGATAAAAATGAAGTTGAGAAACAAAAAAATTTTTACAAATGTTTCTATATTTCCTTTGATCTTTGCCGCTAAATATGGAAACAAGCAACTTTATAGGAGCTTTTTTTGCTGCAACCGTAAACCATAAGCAAGCAATATAAACAGATATATATATAAATATATATATGGCGTTTTAAAACGATTTTCTTCGTTGTCCGACACACAATTTCCATCCTCTTCTATTGTCGCAATCCTCTGATGAGAGATTTCTTTCACTCATGGACTTTTGTATGGTCTTTTGCCATTTCAGTTTTGGTCTTCCTCATTTTCTTCTACCTGTTGGTTGCCAATGCAGCATTTTTCTGGGTATTTGGCATTCGTTCTACGTGTCCGTACCAGGTAAGTTGTTTCCTTTCAATGTCCTGAACTATCGTGTCTTCTATTCCCATTTGTTGTTTTATATTGTCGTTCCTCATTCTCTCTCTCCGTGAGATTCGCCTGGATCTTCTAATAGCATCCATTTCAACTGCTCCCACTTTTTTCTTTTATCTGTCTGGAATTCACCAAGTCTCGGCTCCATATAAAAGGCTGCTCTTTATCATTGTCTGATATTACCTATGTATTGAATTTTCTGTTCTTTATTATTTTCTTGCTCCATAAGTTTCCATTTAGATATCCTATAACTTTTTTAACTTTAAGTATTCGCTCTTTTATTTATTTCACGTCTGTTCCGGTGTTGCCGAATGTGATTCCTAGTTTTTTTTTTTTTTAATTTATATTAACTCTCAGGCCCTGTTCTTGGTATTCTTTTATCAGCTTTCTAATCATATATTGCATGTCCTCTTTGTCACTGGCCACTATGACCTGATCATCTGCAAACTGAAGAGTAAACAGGCGCCTATCATTTACACTGGCCAGCAAAATTAACGCACCACTACTATTTTTGAAAAATATTTTTTATTTCATAATTTTGATCAAATATCTTTATGTCTTGATTGAATATATTCTTATTCTAACCTATTAAGGGCATTAACAAAAGTTAAAATTCCAAAAGAAGGTAAGAAAAAAAAAAAAAAATAGTTATTTATGCAACAAGTGTGTAATGTGAACCTTTTTTCACGAATGTGAATTTTGACGCACGAGCCGAAGGCGAGTGCGACAATCACATGAGTTTTTTTTTTAACTTTAGTTAAAAATAATTAATAACCGGTATTTCCTCCTCTATTTTGAATGATAGCATGGCAGCGATTTTTCATGTTAAAATTACGGGCCTTATCTCGCTTTAATCCAAATTATTCCATATTTTGACAATATCTCCAGTAAGCCCATTCAAAGTGTTAGGAGGGTTAGGAAGCTCTTAAAAATGGCAACAGATCATGTCCCAGCCATCCTCAATTGGGTAAAAATCAGAACTGTTTGCTAACCAATGCATAGTTTCAATTCCAACCTCATTAAAATAGAAATAGGTAAGTGGTGCGTTAATTTTGCTGACCAGTGTATCTCTATACTCATTCCATGGATCTTCCTGTTCCAATTTTTCAGTGCTACTGCTACGTATATTTTAAAAAGCGTAGGAGGGATACATCCTTGACGTAGTATTAACTATAAATGTGTCTGTGAGTTTTTTATCTATTTTAATTCTTGATTTTGAAGTCTTTATATAGTTCTTTAAGTGCCGTTATATAGGTGTGATTGATGTTGGATTGTTCTAATATCTTCCATAGTCTGGATACTGGGACTGTATCGTATGTTTTTTGTAAATCCACAAATGTCAGGTGGATTTCCAAATGTCTAGCAGGGGGGGGGGGGGGGGGATTTATTTGAAACGTGCAATTCAAATTCGTCTGACTAAGTCGCATTTTTTAGCATTGAAATACCGGCAAAAATTGCGACTTAGTCAGACGTATTTGAATTGCACGTTTCAAATAAACCCCCCCAGATCTCTTTCCTATGACTTGTTCTAGGCAAATTACGTTGTCTGTACCTGACCTTCCTGCTCTAAAGCCGCACTCCTCTTCTTCTTCTTTTTCTTTTTAATCTTCTTCAATGAGATCACGCAGGATTCTACCATTTCTAACGTATAGTCTGCTTAGTGACCTTAATGTGCTTGTGACTGATATACGCCGATAGTTATTGCAGTCCAGCTTATTTCCTTTTTTTGTAAATGGATGATATAAAAGCCCTTTGCCAGTGTTGTGGAACAGGATGTCCATTTAGGCATTTATTGATAATACATGTGAGAACTTTAAAGAGCTTCTCAGTTCCTCATTGCAGTATTTCGGGGTATATCCCTTCTCGGCCGCTAGCTTTCCCTGACTTAAGATTATTAACAGTCTACTGTTTCCTCAGAGATCTCAACTACTTCTCCATGTACTTCAATATATCTTGGAGAATCTAATATATATTCCGGTCTACTTTCTTGTGATAGACCCTTGTAGTGTAGTTTAATAATCTGGATATAAGCTGTGTTCTTTCCTGGGTTTTTCACATTTGATATAAATCTCCATACCTCTGAGCATTTCCTTCCTCCTATGTAGGTGTTAATTTCTTCATATTTCTTATCCCATGACTCGTTCTTATCTATAGTGACGCACGTTCTTAGTTGTCTTTTTGTGTCCTTATAAACTTCATGATGGGCTTGTTTATTTTTTGTTGTTAGCTATTTCAGATATTTTTGCTTCTTCTCTTGGACTAATAGCTCTATCTCCTCATTCCACCAGTATTTCGTGTTGGAATTTTTTGGCTTCGTTCCTATTGCTTCTTGGGTGGCTTCTATTAGACTTCTTATAATGTCCGCATAGAGTTTATTGAAGGTATATTCTTCAGGGTTCAATAGTTTGCTGTCGAGTCGCCTCTGATATAGAAATACAGTGCTGTCATCTCTAAAACTGTCAAAATTGTATTTTGTTGTATCCACTGTGTCCTTTAGTATGGCATTGGTGTTTTGTTCCTCTGGGTTCTGGTTCATTATCCTAAATTAAATTGCAACTTTATTTTGGCTCTTACTAAAAATGATCAGATCCGCAAGTTATTCCTCTTAGGACTCTTATGTCGTTCGTCTCCATGTTTGTTTCTTGTTTGCTTATCACATCACTAAAAGTTGCTCAGCTGGGATAAAATTTTCGAACTAGAACAATGTAAGTTAATATACTGAATAACAAATAGGTAGAAGACAAAAAAGTAGGTAATACATGTTTCAATTTTACAAGCGAAATACCTAATAATTGGTTACCAGTAGAAATTAGATCCATACAACATTATAGTTAGCTTTTTGTATAAACTAAAGCAATATTTAAACATATAGTTGTGTATAATGAATGTGATAAGGATGTGATGTAGTCGATGTAGAATGTAGATTAGGATTTTAGTTATAGAAAAAAAAATATATACATATAATAGTAACACGCACTGTTGATACCTACAAGTGCGTTTTTTTTTTTAAAGATAATTCCCCAAGTCAAAACTTTAGTAACTATGTTGGCAACACAAGCCTTTTCTACATACAAAATTTGAAAGCATTGACAATTTTACATTGTATTGCCAACATTTTGACTTTTATCTTTAAAAAAAAAACGCATTTTATATTATATTCTATTATTCTCGAGGCCAGAACCTTTATGTACTGTTTAGGGAATTGTTTAAATCATATTATATTATTGTTATGTAATTTTTGCAAATAAACAAAAAAAAACCAGAGTCAATAATATTTTTCAGGTTCATAACGGGTATTATCTGTATCCATGTGTAGCGATGAATATTGTGTGAAAAATTCATTGTTTATTCTAAGATTGTGGGTCCACAGTCTCACAGAGATGTATGAGCCTTTGGACATTATCATTGATTATTTCTGCTCCCAATGGTCCTACAACTGGGCTAGTGTTCGTCCTTCCCGTTGTTCCAACATAAACACAATGTTCTTATATATTTTGCTTTCAGACTTCGGCGTGGACGTAACTTTACAGCTACAACACGTAAAATAATTTTTCTACTGACATTTCATAATACGCTATTAAACGATTAAAATCTGTATTATAATGAACTTCATTACGATACAGATTTTCATTATAATACTCATTTTTAATATTATACAATGTTGATAGATGGCAGCCTTAGTTAAGATATTAAACATTTTTAACGGTAATTTTGCGTAAAACAATTATTTTGATAACTATAAAAAAGACTTCGAATTGTTTAAAAGTTACCTAAAGTTTGGGACAAAGAATAATTATTATGGAAATAATGAGTGATAAGGAAGAATTTTTACTTTTCTCATTATTATGCATTGTCAATAGATGGCGCCACCAGTTAAGAAATTTTGATTTTTTTTTTTGAATGATGACAGCACTCTGTTTATAGCTTTTCCATGGTAATTTAGCGAAAAACAATAATTTCATGAAAAAAATTCTTCGAATTGTTATTAAAAGTTACCTAATGTTTGGGATAAGGCATTATTATGGAAATATTGAGTGATAACGAAGAATTTTCACTAACACCTCCAGAAATTACAGAAAGGGCGACAAATGCAGGTAATAATATACTACCGGACAAGTCCAAGAAAATTTGCGAAAAATTATATGGACAATTTATGGATTGGAAACACCAAAAACACAT